TTTGCTACTATTTTTCAAATATATGTAGATGCTTATAATGAAGGCAATGCATATATATATGTGAAAGCATACCTAAATTCATTATAGATTTTTGTTATTATGTATTTTCTTAACCAAGAAATAGTAAATCCATAACCACTATCATATGAGAGTGTGCCAAAGTTTGGGGGTTTAAAAAGGGTCCCATATTTGAGAACATGGGAGCTGCTAATAAGCAGGGCCAAGGTCAACACAGTGATGAACACTTTCTACACTGGCCCAGCAGAGCAGAGGCCTGAATTCTGAATGGGGTGCAGCAAGAGGACAGTAGAAATAAAGATGGAATTTTGTCCAATGAGACCTGCAAATAGCACACTCATTTAATGAGGGCTATGTTAGCACCATGGTTATAAAATACCACTTAATTCGTTAGTTTTTTAAAATGGGTTTTTACCTAAATTCATTTTTATGTTGCCAAGATGTAATGTGAGTTAGGGCAGTTAGCCTAATCAAAATGGAGGTGCTGACTGACTTTGTGCCTCTGGCCTTTCTGGGAGGAGAGTGATGTAGCCTGGTGTGATGGTGGGAAGCAGCTCTTCCGCCAGATTCCTTCTCTGGAAGAGAAGAGCCCACCCAGTTGGGTGTCTGGGTGCAACAACGTATTTTCCACCTGGCACCTTGGACCCTTGCCCTCTGTCATGCATCTCTGTGTTTCGTGCTGATTTTCTCTGCTGGATTCTAGGTTTTGTGCATCCAGAGCTCCTCTGCTTTGTTCAGTCTTATTGCCTGAGTCTAGCACAGGACATGTTCAAAAACATGACTTTGACTTCACAAGTTACGAGATTGAAAATGTTTGGAGGAGACTTAAAAAGTCCAGATCACTCTATATTAAACAGGCCTGTTCAGGTTTTTCTTTTTTTTTTTTTTGCCTGCATGGATTTCTAGATGATCGGAGTGAACTAGGAACAACAAAGGCTCATTGTAAAAAAACAAATTACATAAAACGGATAAGGAAGAAGTTAAACATCCTTCATGATCACACCTCCATGCGCCTCCTAGAGCAAGCCTTTCCAGACCTTCCTGGGTGTGCTCTGTGAAATCTCCATGGAGCCCCAGGACCTTCCTCCACCCTTCTCTGCCCTGCTCTGTGCCCAGGGGATGGCCTGTGATGGCATAACACAGGCTTCTTTGCACACCCCACCCGGCTTCCTGCTATGTTCAGCCAAAGGAGGCATGGCCAGATAAAGCCTGAGGAGGGAAGAGAATTCAGGACATTGCTCCTTCCCCACAGCTCCCCAGTGGTCCTGTGTCCTTCCTGACTTCAGTTCCCACTTCCTGCCCCTCCTGTGTAGTTCCAGCTCTCACCAGCCCCCAGATACACTATCCCTTCCTTGTTCTTCCTGCACATGGGGTCATAGTGCCTTCCCACCCCTGCTCGTCTGGGTGTCACCATCCCCTTTGCTCACAGCTCTCAAAGGGGTGCCTTCACTAAAGCTCTTCTCTATGAACCACATGGGATGGATTCTGTTTCTGGATGTAACCCTGATTAAAATGACACACACCTGTATTTATGTAAATGTAGTCACACTATACATTCTATCTTATTACCTGCTTTTTAAAGTTAACCAGACTCCATTACAGGCATCTTTTAATGCCAGGAGGTATAATTACATTTCCTTATTATTTTACTTGATAAGATTTTCAGTAGGATTTAATGAAATCCCACAAACATTTATTGAGCTCCTATCCTGTGCAAGCCTTAGTCCCTGCCCCTAAGGAGGCCAGTGCTATGTGGACCTTAAGACAAATGCAGAAATAACTGGGAGAAAATAAAGATACTAGGAGCCATAGGGCTCAAAGGAGAGAGTGTGGGTCATCGAGCATGGCTTCTTGGAGGAGTCAGTAGTCTATGATATGCTAGGGGCACAAAGACATAAACAAAAGGGAGCTGGGAGCCTGCAGACATCCCAGGCAGAGAGGATGGCAGGAGCCAATGCTTGGGGCCAGAAACTTACACCTCTTTTTTTTTTGAGCAGTGAGGAGTCTGGTTTAGCTCCTCAGGATAGAATATTCTCCCAGGGTACTTTCTTCATTTCCCCTTTAAAGCAGTTTTCTGGGATGAATGTCATTTTTCTGTTTCACTTCTAGGTTATAATCTTCTCAGGGCCAGCAACCCTTCCTTCACATGCTTTTATAAATCTCACACTTAGAATTGGGCAGGAATTCCAAGTAAAAATTGTCGAGTGCATTTGCATGGATGATCTATCATGGGGACAGAAATTCACTGTCGGAGCATGGTGGGTCTTGAGGACCAGGCTGAGTGGTTTGTGGGAAGCACTCTGGGTCTGCCTCTTCCTTTGACACCCCCTTTCTCTTCTCAGAGACTTCTTGCTCTCTTAGGCCTAAATGGAATCATAGATGCTTCTCAGACAGGAACCCTATCTTCTGAGAGGATGGGTCTCATTTTCCCATCTGTTCGTTCTTCCAAATGTGGGTCAGGGGTAGAAGCCCACCCCTCTTCATGTGAAAGACTGGGAAAAAGCTCAGCAGCCGTGGTTCCTGGCTCCTGTTACCCAGGGCAACAGGCAGCAAGTGCTTCTGCAGAATCAGGCTGGTCTTCGAAATGGATGACAAAATAAGACCTGAGTTTGGCTCTTCTAAGAGTTCAGAGGGTTCCTCTTTCCCATCCCTTTCTCCTCTGGGCAAGACAAGAAAAGCCAGGGAGCACTGGCTTTTGCCTCAGACACTCCAATTCTCTCTCGTCCTCTGTGCCCAGCCTGCTGCCTTCTGCTCGGTGGCTAAGGGTATTGAGTGTTGGGCCTGGGAATAGGACAACATTTGGGACATTTGCACAGCACTTGTGTACTGGTGACAAGGGGCAGTGATGACGGGGTGACAACAACAGAAATAACAAAACAGAAGAAGAGAAAGACATGCCTGGGCATGAGCGTGAGCCCCACCAGGCGCTGCTGTGATGACCTTGCTATGAGGCAACACACCACTCTCAGCCTCAGTTTCCCCATATGCACAAATGAGATGGCGATAGCCACCCTCCAAGTTGTGCAAATAAAGGAGAGAAAGGGCACGTGGAAGCATATAGCTTGGCATAGGGACTCACCATATTTTATTGTTTTTCTCCATACACATTAGTACTCTCTTTTTTTAATTCCAAACTTCTGTGGTACAGAAATGTATCTTGCTTTGTGAATGGTTATTTATATATCATGTACAGTTCAAATTCCCTCTGAAGCATGTAGCACTTTGGAAGATGCTGGGGAGAAATCATGTGTATCTGGCTTTCAAAACAATTTCCCATTGTCTCTCCATCCCCAAAGCCTTAAAATAAAGACCTGAGTGTCTGACTTCCATTTCTGAATCCAGTTAGCTCATTCATCACAAAATGCAGGATACAAAGGTAAATGACCCTCCTGAAGTATGTAATGTGCTTTTCAGGGAGCAGAGCTTCTTTGAATGAAACCAATTTGCATGGATGGAACCGTAGGGTGTCCTTTTACAATGGTCTAGTAAACATCCAGGAAAACCGATTGACTATTGAGAACCCAGCTTCTAAGCTTCTAAAAACTGTTGACTTCTGAATAATTTGTACATCCTTTCCCAGCTCAAATAACTATAAACTCCCACAAAGTGCTTTATAAACTCTCTTTAGAGTATTACAAAAATCCTTTGAGCTTCACATGATGATCTTCATTGGGAAGTTGAGTAAACTGAGTCATGAAGTTGAAAGATCTGCTCAAAGCTATTCCAGGAGCGAAGACAGGGCAGGGCCAGGCTCAGACTTCCTGGCTCTGCATCTGGTGAGAGGGTCACAGAATGTGCTGGGGTTGGGCACCTCCAGTCTCCTGACCTCCCAGGGTCCTGCAGTGCCACAGGCTTCCATTAGCAACTCTTCACTCAAACCTGTTTTCTGGGACTGGCCATGGTCCTCTGGTTCCCAAGATGCCACTGTCCAAGGGCAAAGGCTCACCTGTGACAAGGTAACAAATACGTGCTCAGCAACCATATGTCCTCTCCTCCCAAGGTCTGGTCTCACCCACTTGCCAAGGCCTGCTGAGGAGAGTTCGCAGATGGGCAAGTAGATACAGCAGTAAGATGGGTTTCTGCTTTTCCTTTTGTAGATAAGCTGAAAATAAGCAGAATTAACTGAATGTCCTAAACATTTACTGGTTTTTGGATACCCTGCATTTGACCCTACTTCTTGTACATGGGCTCCACCACCCACCAGGGAAACAGAGAATCCTGGCTACTTGCTCTCCTAGACCCTAGGCAGTAGGTTGCAGGCACAGGACGCAAGCTCAGTCAGTTGGAAGACCTGCTGGGGACTCTGAGTATTTGAGGATAAGGACCACAGGATATTGAAGCCTCCACCCAGTGGCAGGTGGGGGTCCCAGCATCCCATATCTGTTAGCTGGGGTGCTTTGGGACCAGCAGGGTGCACAAGGTGGGCAGGATTCTGAGGAGGCAGCTTTGCCCTCAGGTTTGCTGATGTGCACGACCTTGGCTGTGGTTAACACTGCCTGTTCCTGGTGTGCTCTCCTTCCTGCTCATTCTGGAAATCTCTGAATGGATTTGTGAGTTACCAGTTAGCCTTCCAACTAATTCCTTTCCTGGTGAAGTTCACCAGAGTCAAGAGTTTTGTGTGTCTGTATGTTGATAGGTACAGGTTGGGGAATGTGAGAGATTTCCCTTTTCCCTTCCCCTTCCTATTATTGAAAGATGAGGTCCAAGAGCTAGAATGTGAAGATAAAGCAGAGACAGTAAATGTGCCCTGACATAGAAAGGCTCAAAAGGGTCAGGTGTTGATGTTTGAGGAAGGTCTAACTCACTGTTCTCCAATGGCCCAGAATGTACATCAACAACATTGGCTGGCACCCTGCCAGGACATCACATTGTGACCACTCTTACAGTTATCACATGGCCAGCTTCACAGCATGTGACTGCCATGCTAGAACCACCATGGTTATGGCTAAGTCAGCATCACTGTGTACTCATCTCCTGTCTCCCTCTAGGTTCCCCTCAACAGGTTGCTCCCTGTCCAGGATCCTTATTCAGCTTGGATGTGGAGTTGAGACAGGGCTGCCTACAGCAGTGAGTTGGGAGCCCCAGAGGTATGCTTTGTCTTTTGTGCTACTTGTAATGTGATGGTGCTGTCCAGAGCATCTGGAAATCTAAGAAACGTGTTTTTATCCTATGCCAGTGGAGGAGAGCAGAGTGACTTTCACAGGCTGTTAGAATAAGATCATATAACAAAAGCTAATTATTGTATGCTTATTACATAAAATCCCATTTACTCTTCCTAATAGCCCTATGAGAAAGGTGTTATTATTTATTATCCCTAATTTACATATGAGGCACTGAAGCATAGAGAAGTTAAGTGACTTGCCCAGGGCCACCCAGCTCCAGGTGTGAAGATCGCCCAGTGCTCTTTACAACTGTGCTACAGTACATCGTGTAGATGCCCACATGCTGCCGAGTGGCTTCCAAAAGCTATCACAATTCCATGAAAAGATGATAAGAATGTAGATTTCTAAGGTCCACACCCAAAGATTTTGATTCAGTAAGCCTTGGGAGGATGAGGGTGGGGGCTTGGAGACTGAACTGCAACAAGCATCCCAGATGATTCTGAAGGCACCTGTTCAAGGTCAGGTATTTAGGAGCCACTGGCTGATAGAAGAGCATATTCAGCCACTCCCCTTTCCATGCACTTGGCAGAGAATGCTTATTGATCACTGTACCCTTTCCTGACTTGGCTTCAGAATCCTTCTCATTGCAGGTGGGGACTATTAATCACTCGGAGGTGGCTTCAAGGTAAAACCAATTTGTCATCTTCAGCCTAGAGTATCCAGGAAGTGAATTGAAGAAGTTGAGTTTTATCACAGGCTGCTAACTCAACAAAGCAGGAAAATAATGGGATAATTTCTGTGCCTCAGGTTTCTTCCAACTGTGCTAGGGAGAGATGGCTATTGGGCTTTTATTTTAAGCCTGGAGAGGGTGGATTCTTATCTCTAAATTGTTCTATGAGGTAAGATAATCCTAGCAATTTTAACATTTTGTGACGTTATAACGTTTGTGTCAAGTTATAACATAACTGTCATTGAAACTGTTCTGAGTTTAATTTTTTTTTTTTAGCCATCTGAATAACCAGCCTCTACCCCCCCATGATTGGATTAGTTTGCATATTTGAATTTATTTGTTAGGGTGGCTCTGAACACCAAATCAGTTGTGCTGGATCAGCAGTAGGACATGGAAACGCTATTCAGTCCTTAAAGTGCCAGGCTGATGGAGGCTCTGCTGTCCTCAACAAGTGGCTTCCAAGATCGATCATCCTCGGTGCTCACATCCAGACAGATGGAGGTGAAAGACACTGGAGAATTGCTCAGGAACTTTGGTCAGATCATTGGTCAGAAGTCACATTGGCCAGAACCTAGTCACATGGGTTTACTTACTGAAAAAGAGGCTGGGAAATAGAGCCTAGCTTGCCCAAGTTGAGAGGGAACTAGGTCTGGTGAACAGCTGGCCAGAAGGGAAACCAGAGTCGGTGGTGCTTGGGCCAAAGTTACCTAATTTTGTAAATCCTGAAATATTCCCATATTGGACAATTAAATGCATTCAATAGGATAATTTTCAATTTTAAATAGTAAAAAAAGAAGAAAATACGACCAATGAGTACTTTAGAACTTTCTACACCATTTTAATTTGATCTCTTGTAATGTTTTTGGAGTTCTTTTTATTTCTGATTTTAGAAATGTGTATCTGGCTCACTTTATGACTTGTTCATTAGTTGCTTGTCTCCCCAACTGTTTCCTTGAACTCCAAGGGAAACCTTTATGAATTTATCCCTGGCCTTCTCCATTTTCTGAAATGAAGACTATAAGGATGAATTAAAATTTATGGCCTCTGAACAAAAATGTTTGCCTGGGTCCTTCCCCTGGTCATTAAAGTGCAGTTTCTGGGATCAGACCCCAGCACTGCCCCTCCAGTGGTAGATTCTACACTAGTGCACCAACCTCCTCATGCCTTTTTCATCCCAATCGATGCATGAAAATACTAATACCAATCTCACCAGACTGTGGTGAGATGCAGGGTAGCAGTGTCTGATGCACAGTAAGCATGAAAATAGTCTGTGTCATTGCTGTCACTGTTGACTCCAAAGTCAATGAGCCACCCACTGGAGCTCAGCTGTGCTCGGGCTGTGTGGATAAGAAGGCACATTTAAGCTCAGAACAAAGATGTGGTCAGGGGGTGCTTTCCCACTGGCTCACCTTGGAAGTGTCTCTTTAGGTTCTCTCTTGAAACAAACCTTGTGTGTTCTTAAGCCCTCACCACACTGTGACTCAGTTTCCCCACTGATAAAAGGGGGTACAACGGTTCTAAACTTGTTTGTAAAACATGTTGAAAGCCTCTAAATAAAGGTGGTATTTAGTGTGAGTTCAAAGCATTATGTAATTCTTTTATTGTCCTTTTTATTCCTGAGGTTCTTCTGTTTGCTCGGCTTACAAACTCAAGCCAGAACCATAAAATCACTTTTATACCAGCGCCTCTCACACACATCTTGTAGCAACTGCACATTTCAATCAATGCAGAAAGAGCTTAGGAGGATGAGGTTGGAGACAGGCAGAGCAACACCACCAGCAATTTCTGCTTAATTGAGGCCATTACTTTATACTGTCACTAGAACTGCTCTGTGATCGATTTTTTTTAGCCATCCAGATGATCAGCTTCTGCCCCATGAATTGGGTTGGCCTGCACACATTGGACATGTTAGTTAAGAGGGCCCTAAACACCAAATCAAATGAGTTTCTCAACCCACTGTTCTTTCTTCAGAGGTCAGAGTCTATATTTTGACACCATGATTTCCAAGGCCTCTAGTAGTGGGCTGGTGTAACCATTCACCCGGGGTGGGAGTCCTTTTTACAGCATTCTGGGCAGGCAGGGTGTAGCTTCTGTTGGCAAACATAGGGCCCACACTGCCTGTTTGGGGAGACATTTCATTCTATCTTTGGGTGGGTCTGGTCATAAAATGTTCCTTCCTAAGTTGAACAGACATGTTGGTTATGCTCAGGTAAGTCCCAGCAAGCCCTGGCTCTCATGCTGGCGATGGGAGCTGCAGCAGAAAGGCTGAGAAATCTCTGGTGGTCCCAGCCTCTCTAAGCTTCTCAGCAGGAACATAAGAAACACAGTATGCAACAAGTACTTCCTTTCAGCTTCTTCCTGTACTTGGTTTTACAAAGCAAGGAGAGTGACTGCCCATTGAACTGAGTCAAAGCTGAGGGTTAGTTTGTAGGGACTGAATCTGGAGGGGCAGCTTCCTTGTTGCTGTTCTGATTTTGTGCCTTTCACGTGCAGGTGAGGTAAGGAGCATTAGCCCACTACATTTTGGAAGAACAAGGGAAACCTCTTTAGCATCTGTCTATATCAGCAGGAGCTTAGCATGAATGATCCATTCCTCAAATTCACTGAGTAAATCATTTACCCAATTGCCATTCAATAAACACCTACTGCATAAACAGCCCTGCAGGATAAAGGAATTCAGATCCTTAAGCTTGAGAAACTTAAACTCCTTAGGGAAATGGGAAATTTAACTGGACAGAACTGCTGTGCTTCTCATGCTTGGGAAGTCCCATCTTAGGAGAGTGGTGAAGGACCATGGGTTTGGAACCTCTACACCTCCTCCTTCCTTTGGTCTTTTAGTGTCATGAGCACACACATACACACACATACATACATACACACAACAAAAAACAACTTGGTTTTGCTCAGCAGCTGCCTCACCCCATGGGCCATAAGAGCCAGAGGAGAATGTGAATGGGCATGGGGGTACAAGGCAAGCACCTGACCCAGGGACAGCTGGCTTGGGGCCAAAGAGTGGAGACCAAGCTCCGTGGCTGGTGGTTGCATGCACTGTAGGGAGCCCATGATGTTTATGGAATAAATGAATAAGTGAATGAGTAAATGAATCGGAATCCATTCCATGCCTATACATGGTCCCCACCTATTATCCTACTTCATTCTTATTCTTCTTTGATAAATACTTTTGTCTAGATGGTTTTGTCTAGGGAATGGGATTTTTAAAACCAAGGAATTCCAGAGCTAGCTCTTGCCCTCTGTCAGTCCTGGGTAAATCCTCAGACCCTTTTCCTAAAAGAGACTTTATAGAGCAGAGGATTCTAGAACCAAGGTCTTGTGAGATTCTTTCTCTTTTAATCTCAAACAAAGATAGGCAGAGGAATTTATTGTTATCCATTAAGTTGATCAGTATCCAAGAAAATCCAGCAGTGAGTGCACTAATGCTTAGGTATTTCCTTTTAATGTGAGCCCAAAGTACTTGGGAAAAAATTTATATTCTCTGTGTCCAAGTAAGGAAAGCAGATGTCAAGAATTATGATCCTATTTAACAGATGGGAAATCTAAGGTTCTCATTCATGGAGCAAGTCAGGAACACAGCTCAGGAGAGAAGCCATCTCCTGCCTGCACAGGGAGGTGAGCTATCATGCTCATGTCCATTTTCATGTGCTCTAGGGAAATGCCCTCCCGAAGACAGCTTTCCCTGGTGCAGGAGCTGGATGCAGGAGAGACCCTTTGCTCACATCCTTCTAATGTCTAGGAGGGACAAGGGTGAGAGTCTTTCCTGTGCGGCCTTCACAGCATTGCCCCAGCATGGTGCCGAGCCTCTGGGCTATCCATGTTGATCACACACTGTCCATCCTTGCTGTCATCCTCTTGGGCTCATCCTCTTGGGCCACCAACTCATGCCCCAGTGAGTTCCACACCCAGGTCGATCTTCCCCACCAGGATCCTGGGCAGTCTCAGTGCCTTCAGCCTTTCAGAGGCAGTTTGTAATTATCCTGGTCAGTCTCCTGTTGCCTTTCCTTGATCACATACCTGTGGCTGTGCCCTGGACATCAGAGTCACTCAGAACTGCTTCACTGCAAAATGACCAGACTCCGAGGACTCTCTCTGATTACAGGCTTTCATTGCTATTGTTATTTGCCAATGACTCTTTGTGACTTTATTTACCTCCCTCTGCACTCCAGGCCATGGTCAGCCCATTTTAATATGGCTTCCTTGAGCACATGAAACCCCTGTCTACATCTCCTTGATTCTTCGCTGCCAACCCCAGCCTTAGCTCTAGCTGCTACCAAACTTATCTGCAGCCAAGCCTATTTCCTGAGTGTCAAGCCCTTGTCCTGCTACCCAGAGGACCAACAGTGCCACTGGAATGCCTCCTGAACACAGAGCACTCAACATACTGAGACCTGAATTCATACTTCTCTCCCCAAACTTCCTCTTCAGACATGTTCCCTTTCTTGACACGATGGCACCAGCACCCACCCAGAGGTTATACAAGCCCAAGACCAGGAGTCATCCCTGGCACATGAACCTCCCTCAGCCCCACCTCCAGTTGGCCCCTGGGTACATCCGTGTTTGCCCATGTTGTCATCCCACAGCCATCTCCACAGTTCAGGCTGCTGGTCTCCTTGTCAGGCTCATGTCAACCTCTTCCCACCTCACCTCCCACCCTAGACTTATACAACTCCACATGCACACCGTAGCATGAGAGACACTGCTAATACAGAGATCTCATTCTCCTCCTTAAAACCCTTTGGTGGTTCCCTGTATCTCCCAGGATACAGTTCTAATATCATCAGGTCCCTGTCCACCCCACACCCTCTGCAGTCCTGTCTCTCTGATGTTTTTGTCTCTTGCCTGAGAACTTTGCACATGCTGTTCCCTCCTCCTGAAATGCAATCGCCTGTTAACTGTCCCCTCGCCCATTTTGGCCAGGCTAACCCCATACTCTGCGTGTCTTGGCAGACATTACCTTCTCCAGAAAGCCTTTCCTGACCCTCAAATCCAGGTTAGATTCCCCATCTGAATTCCCATGGCACAGTGTAATTACCCTGCAATGCCATTTATTTACAGACAACATGTATTAAGCACTTGCTACATGTTAGGATGTTTCACAAGACTATGTGAATTACATTCAATCATCACTGTGCCCCTATGAAGTAGATACTTTTATTTTCTCACTTTACAGATGAGAAAACCAAGTCACACACACACACACACACACACACACACACACACACACACACATTCAGGGTTAATAAGTGGCAGAGTGGGAATAAGGATCGAGGTGGCCCGTCTCCTGATGCTGCACTGCAGTGACTCTCAATCCTGGCTACACATTAGAATTAGCCTTGAAACAAACACACATGCTTATGCCCTGCACCCAGGCATTTGTTTGGTGGTGGTGGTAGTGGTGGCGGGCAGTTAAACAGTTGGCAGGAGTCTGAATTTCTAAAACTCTCCAAAGGTGCGTCTGATTTTGGGAGACTGAGACCCATTATGCTGTGTTACAATCACCTGTTTTCTTGTCTCCAGCTTGCAATGACCTTGGTAAGAAAAGGGAACATAACTCTGCTGCTCCTCCTTCCCCTTCCGTGCCTAGAATACCATCCAGCCCAAAGCTATCCCTCAATACATGCTGAAGGAGTAAATAAATTGCTTTCACCCCATGTTTTCTGAACTTCTGAGATGCTAGAAACAGCCAGACAACCTTGCCCACTGGGCCTGGAAGTTCATGTTGCTCTATCCAGCCCTTCCTCAGCTTGACTCCTTCCTAGCAGTTGTGGAGTTTCCACATGGCCCGTGAGCCCTTGCCCTTCCCTGCCCTATGCTCAGCAAATAGTCCCACACTCATGAGAACACGAGCACCTGCTGCAAGATCTCTTGGCTGGCCTCCCCTGCCTTCCTAAGCCTTGTGATGTTCACTTCTTGATCTCTTTCCTTTGTAGGGCACAGAAGAGGCAGAGGATTCCTTCTGGTGTAGGCTCCCCGCCTGAGCTCACAGGCCCCCTGCCCAGCCGGCACCCTCTGGCCCTTGTTCTCCTGGGAATCTGTGCGCCCTCCCCACTCCACTTCCCATCCATAACTCCACAATGAACCAAGCCCTGCTGTCCAAATGCCTTTTGCTTCCATCTGCCTTCCACATCCACCCACTCTGCCTTGACCAGGGTGACCCAACAGCTGACTTGTTTTTCTCATCCTCAGCCCCCACCCACCACCATGTCCAGCTTTGGTAATTTCACTCCCCTCTCAGACTCGTCACAGTGCTAATGCATAGAGTGTGAATGCAGAGGGGCATTTGAGATTCCTCACAGATAGGCCTTAACCTCGCTTTAAAACACTGCCTCCTTTTCTTCTCTCTTCTCTACTCCAAACATTTATCTCTCTTCCTTAAACATTTCCTGCCATTCCTTTCTCTCTCCTGTTTCTCCCTGTCAAAGCCTCATCCAGCCCCGAGCCCAGCGCTGATGCAGCCTTCTCAAGAGCTCCATGACCATCGGCAGTCAAGTGGGCCCTCCGTTCTTTGAATTTATTCAGCAGTTTGCACCGCTCTTCTCGCACTTGCCAGAGAT